ATGAGCACAAATGTGGAATTAGAACCATTAATCTGAGTAAATAAAGAATAGTCAGATTTAGATTGAGTGAACCCTGCATTGATTAATGTTGTAGAGAATTTGACAAACCATTACCGAAAAGCCTGTTTGAGTTCATACAAGGATTTATTGAGTCTACATACAATTTGCTCCCCCTGTTTGGTGAATCCCGGAGGTAAAGTTATGTAAACTGTCTCATCTAAATCCCCTTGTAAGAATGCATTATGGATGTCCAATTGATGAATGGACCAAATTCTGATAGTAGGAATGGAAAGAAGCAAGCGAACAATGACTAATTTAGCCATAGGAGCAAAGGTATCATGGTAATTTTGGCCCTCAATCTGATTATATCCTTTAGCGACCAAACGGGCCTTGTAACGTTCAATGGAACCATCTGAATGATACTTGATCTTAAAACCCATTTACAACCTATAGGCTTATGATGTAAGGGTAAAAGAGCAAGAATCCAGGTATGATTTTTTTCTAATGCTGGAATTTCTGCAAACATTGCATCTCTCCATTGTGGAATTTTGATAGCTTGAGAGAATGATTTTGGTTCAACTGTTGAAGACACTGTAGATAAAAAAAACTCTATGGGATAAAGAGTGTAGACACTAAAAAATTTAATGGACTTTGGTGTTGACAAATTGACCCATTCAATATGGGTTTAATGTTTAATTAAATTGTTTAATTGGCCCAAGCTTGGTCCACTTAAATTATTTAATTAGCCCAGCACAGATGATTAAATGGAAAGATAATTATTTCTAATAAAATATATTTGGAATAATTATTTTTAAGGATAATTATCACAATATAACCGGCCCGGCCCAGTTATAATTTTATCTTTATCAGGAGATGACACGTGTCATCATCCTATTAATCCAAGAAGCCTATAAATAGAGGCCGGGAGGAAGAAGGAGGGGGACAAAAATTCTGCATTCAGAGATCCAGAATTCCAAAGAGAAATACAGAAGCTCTCGTCCCCTACATCCAAATCCAAAAGCGAAGAGCACCAAGCACATCCGAAACCGTGCCATTCTTCTTCAAATTCCACGGTGATCAACAACAAGCACATCAAATCATGCCGTTCCTCACCCAAATTCCAAGACGATTTAAGAACAAGCTCGTGCAAGCCTTGGATCTAACCAACAACAAAAAGGAGATTAAATCAGCAGACCATTCTTTTTGTAAAGAATATTACAGAGGATTGTACCTCAATTTCTCAAATTAATAAAATTATATTATTTGCTCCATATTTTGTTTCTATTGCAGACTTACAAAATTTGTGTGTACAAGAGAAATTAGTGCCAGAAACATACAAAGTAATATGATATGGAGTAGAACTTGTAGTTTCTTGAGAGTTTGATTGAATGAGATTAGCAGAATAAGGGATAGTGGGGCAATGAAAATCTTTGAGATGGGGCAGTAGGTGTCTCTCTCTGGATGGCCGAGATGAGTTAGGAACAACAGGTTGTGGTGCTGAAGTTGACTCTGGATTTCATTGGGTAAGATTGTAGGTTGTGTGAAAGGATGACGACGATGATATACTTGTAATGGTGGAACCTGATAGGATTGGTTTGCAATAGGGGACTGTGGGATAACTTGGGCAGATGAATTGGAATCTATATGATTAGTAGCTAAATTTGAAACTGCTAGTGGAGAAGGTGTATAATTGAATGTGCCATTGTCAAGGACAGGTAAAGGGTAAACTTGCAAGTTTGATGGAGAGGCCGAGATATCTTGATAAGGAAAAGTGGTCTCGTGAAAGATCACATCACGAGATGTGTAAATTTGCTTAGAAATAATATCGAAAATGCAATACCCTTTTCGAGCATGGGGATATCCAACAAAAATACCCGGTTTGCCCCTTTGATAGAATTTATTTTTGATGTTGGTATTACGGCCAAAACATAAGTAACCGAAAATTCGAAGGTTGGTTTGCCCCTTTGATAGAATTTATTTTTGATGTTGGTATTACGGCCAAAACATAAGTAACCGAAAATTTGAAGGTTGGTATAATTTGGCGGTGTGTGGAACAGTATTTCATGTGATGACTTACCACCTAACAAAAGGGTGGGAGTTTTGTTAATTATATAAGCTGCAGTTAAAACACACTCACCCCTAAAAGATAATGGAAGATGGGCCTGAAAACATATGGCATATGTAACATTGAGTAGATGACAGTGTTTTCTCTCCATTACACCAATTTGTTGTTGTATAGCAACGCAACTGCATTGATAGATGACTCCGTGGGTGGTAAATTTTTTTTGCATGGTGTGTGATAAGAATTCGGTTCCATTATCGGATCGAAGAATTTGAATATCATTAAAACGTTAATCTATATCACCAACTCCAGAAATGAGGGAATGAATTTTTGAATTAAATTGAGTATGAACCATGGCAAAAAAATGATTGTAAGATTTTTGCAATTTCAGATTTAACATGCATTAAATATATCCATGTAGCACGACTATAGTCATCAACTATAATTAAAAAAAAAAAAAATCTAGCATTAGAATGAGATGGTAGAGAAAATGGCCCCCAGAGGTCACAATGAATTATTTGAAATGGTCTACTAGTCTTGATTGAGCTAATTGGAAAACATAAATGAGTTTGCTTAGCTTGTGGGCAGATAATGCACGTGTTATTATTTGGACAACGAATAAAAGGGAATTGCTTAGTTAGCATTTGCAAACGATCAGTAGACGAATGTCCTAATCGACAATGCCATAAATTATTGGTGGTGGAATTTTGAACAGAGCAAACAGAGGCTAATTGAAGGTAATAGAGTCCCTCATGTAGGCGTCTCAATCTAATCTTTCTCTTCGATAACTGGTCCTGAAAAATACAAGAATCGTTAGTGAATGAGATAGAGATGGGTTGGGACTGGCCCAATTCACTAAGATGGGTTGGGACTGGACCAATTCACTAAGATAAATCAAATTAAATTGAAAGGTGGGTACAAAGAGGACATTATCAAGACGCATCGATGGTGAGAGAATGAAACTACCAATGTGGGTAATTAAATGATCCATTCCATCCAGAAGCTTAAGAGTAAAATGCTTAGAACAAATAATATAGGTTGAAAAAAGATATAATGAGGAACTGACATGATTAGTAGCGCCAGAATTGATGATCCATATAGAATTAGATAAGCACGAAAGAGATATACCTGTCAAATTTACTTGTGGTGTGGGGTTACCTGACTCAAGCATGCTTAAGATCTTGTTATATTGTTCGGTGGAGAAAATAGAAGGGGTGGCTGAATAGTGAGATGTGTCTGCTGAAACTGCATTAACTTGATGTTTTTGTTGGGGTATCCATGAAGTTTGTAACATGTACCCTTATGATGTCCCAATCGTTTGCAATGATTGCAAAATGGGCACGGTTTCCCACCACGCTGTCCTTGGTGTGAATTGTTGTTGTGGTCCCTAGAGAATTTGCCATTGTTCTGTGGCTGAAAATTTTGTTGAGTTGTCTTTGCACCCGAAACCCAGTTGTTAATTCTATTCTCATTGAATCGAGCACTCAATACCGCGGCTTCAGGAATGGGATTGGACAATGCATGTCTTTCATGCTGCTTCTCTTCTTGCCTGACGAGAGAATAAATTTTGGCAACACTAGGAAAAGGATCCATCAGTAAAATTTGACTACGGATGGTTGAAAAACGATTATAAAGACCTTGTAAAAATTCCATTGCATGGTCTACTTGAAGCTGAGCTGTAGTGGCAAATCCATGGCTACAAGTGCAAACGGAAATAGTAGATAAAGAGTTTAATTCATCCCATAGGGATTTAAGTAAAGTAAAATAGACGGATACCGTAGTATTGTTTTACTTGAGCGGGGAGATTAATTGCTTGAGTTGGTAGATTTTTGGTGTATCACTATGTGAGAATCGATCTCGTACGTCCTTCCAAATGTCACGAGCTGTATCCGTATAGAGAATACTCCCACGTATCTCCGGCGTAACTGAATTGAGAATCCATGAAGCAACAAGATCGTCACATCTAGACCACTTGGATTTTTCATTTTGATTAGTAGGGATTTTGATTGAGCCATCTATAAAACCTATTTTATTTTTGGCTCAAAGGGCCCTCGAAATAGATTGTAACCATGTACTATAGTTGTCACCAGATAACATTGGAGAAACAAGGATAGCCGTGGGGCTATCCGAGTGATGGACAATGAAAGGATCATTTGACCCTTGAAGTTCAAAATTTTGAATATCTGTTGGATTAACCATTTTGAATGAATTGAAGAACTAAGAAAAAATAGATTGATAGAAAATTTAGAGTTGTGAGCAGAGGTGCTCTAATACCATAATAAACAACACTAACAGAGACGTATTGAGATAAATCTGATATCTATTCAATGTGTTACAAAATGGTATATATAGATTTTACAAGAGAATATCTCTCAGTTAGGTTCTCTATATAAGGAAACAAATAACAAGTTGAGATATTCATGGTCAACTACTTGATTTGAGGAAACAAGTAACAACAACTTTGAATGAAAGAAATCTATGTACAGCTAGCAAGTGATGTAGTGGAGTTGATATTCTGATATATAGTTTGTCTTCTTAAACCTTGTAAAGGTGCCTCTTTGGCTTCGGTGCCTCGTGAAGGCAATGTTGTTGCTCATATGCTAGGTATAAAGGCTCTTGAAACCGAGTGTTGTGATTTTGAGAGAAAAATTAGATGCGCGTAACTTTATATAGTATAAAACACTTATTTTTATTCTAAATTGTTTTCAATTTCGAACGACATTATGAAACCGTCTTCAATTTCGAACGCGTGACCAAATAACAATAGAGTAATCTAACCATGGCGTTAAGATCCATCCTTCAAAGAGCCACAAATGCAATTTCTTTAAATAAAAGAGGACGTACTTGTAATTATTACAAATCTTATTGAAAGTGATTGTAATTTACTTTTCTTTTTTCTTATTTATTTACTATTTATTTATTTTTTCCGTAACAATAACACTCTCTTTAAAGCCTCCTCATTATGTAAATTACATAAATTTTCGTCACGGAGCATAAAAGTCAATCGAATGACTCTCTGCTCCGATAGAGAAGTAGTCAATTTCTCTTCCACTCCTCTTTTTGTTTCTTTAATCTTTTGATCAACTTAAAAGCATTGATTTGTTTCTTTAATCTTTTGATCAACTTATAAGCATTGATTTTTTTGTTAATTTAAGTTAAATTTCTTCTTTCGCTGTGGTTTAGTTGGAGATTAGAGATGACTCAACATCCATCAGTGATCCTCGCGACGGCGAGCTATGATCGCACAATTCGGTTCTGGGAAGCCCAAAGCGGTCGATGTTATCGTACCATTCAATACCCAGATTCTGTAAGTCTTCTTTCTACATATAAATCTTTATTTATTTTTTAATTTAATTACCATTACTGTTTTATTTCTAGAATTTTGGTTGTCTCTCTCTGATATGTAGTTGTTTTCTTCTTCATCTTTTTATGGGTACTTTTTTTTTTTTGGTTCAAAATTTTGGTCAGTTTGTTGTTTGATGAAATGGGTCAATGATCAAATTCTGTTTATCAATGATTTAGGTTTCAAGGGTCAGGAAATGGGTCATTAAGGTGTAGAAATTAAAGGGTTATATAGTAGTTATATCATGGGTGGTTGTAATATTGGGGTTGTTATATTGAATGCAGCAAGTTAATAAGCTGGAAATAACCCCGGATAAGCAGTACCTGGCTGCAGCTGGAAATCCTCACATTCGACTCTTTGAAGTTGATTCAAACACCCCTCAACCTGTATGCATCGATCTTCTCTTTATTCTATCATCATAGATTCATTTCTTATGGTTAATTAACATGTTTTCTTTGGGTGAATGATAGGTCGCGAGCTATGATTCGCATACTAATAATGTCACAGCTGTTGGGTTTCAATGCGATGGAAATTGGATGTATTCTGGTTCTGAAGATGGGACAGTAAAAGTTTGGGATTTGAGGTGAGTTGTATGTTTATATGGATAAAAGTGAGAAGTGCCCTTGTTGGATACATATCAGTTGGGTTATGTGTTGGACATGTCTGGTCATATATGGACCAACAAACATATTTGATAATTCAGAATTGAACATATATATGCATATAAAAGTATAAAATTCTGTTATAATGTTCTAACACTTAATATTGCATAAAGCATCGTAAATAAAAGAAGAATACTAGGCAATTTGAATATTCTATGTCCCCGGATTAAAATATCAAATAAATCCGAACTTAGATGCATATCCACACCTGAGACTATTACTGACATATAAAATAATTTTATGCACCTTTACCGTAAATGGAAACGATCTCTCCACGTGGGTCTTGGCTTGACGGTAAGGTTGTTCCATTGTGACCTAGAAGTCACTGGTTCGAAAATGGAGACAGCCTCCCCATGTGGAGGTAAGGTTGCGTACATTTGACCCCGCAATGGCGGTAGCCTTGTGCAGTGGGCTAACGCTTTTTACCATAAATGGTTACTGGAAAAACAATAGTTATTCTAAATTTGTGCGACTGCTTTCTGGTGTTTCTTGTCATGTTCTTAATTCAAGTCTGTTACAGGGCTCCGGGTTGTCAAATGGAATATGAAAGTCGTGCTGCGGTTAACACTGTTGTTCTTCATCCTAATCAGGTGAGATACTATTACCTTGTTCAATATTAGTCCAGATTAGCTTTCTATTAATACAATTCACTAACAATTCACTACTTGTGGATATATTTGGGTTAAATAGATAAATCAGCAGTAATATTTTTTGTTTGGGATGAACCTTAATAGTTAGTTAATGCATTTGCTAGAAGTTAGGAAGCACCAAAAAGGAGTGATCTGATTTAAGATAATACGGTTACAAGTACAACCTCAAGGCTGATTTAATCATTGATCGGTAGTGAGAGAAATCGTGGTTGTTTAGTTGGCAAATTGTTGTTATTTGGCCTTCAAGTTGTATTTATAGCCTCATTAACTTGACCCAAATCACTCCTTTTTGGTGTTTCCCAATAATCAATATGGACATGTCATTTGTTTTGAAGTACAATATAACAGAATGAACATAATAAGAGAGTTTAATGTACAAAGATATATATACTTGAATTATCAGAAAGTATTGCTACATGTATGCCAATTAGACACATCAGATAGAATTCTATGCCCATACCTAGGGGTTGTGTAACCGACTTGGGTAATTCACCATTTACTCAAGTCTATGTAACAGAGTTGAAACATTATGAAGTTTAATGTCTTAGACGTCATTTCCTCGTGAAAAATATATAGTATAGCAAAGATATCTTATGGCTGTGCTTTGAAGATTATCCAGTGGCCGCCCTGATTATCCATTATAGCCAAACACCATGGAATCTGAGTTATTGTAATATTTCTTGTTACTTCTTCCCAAAAAATGGCCATGGAATTGCAAAGATGTTTGTTTGTCTATGGTACGTGGACTAGGGTACATGTGTCAGGTGTGGGTATGCAACCAAGCTTGGACATGTGGAATTGCCAAACTGAAAGACATAGGGATACTGCTAAATATTCTACTGTAAAATAATGCCTTGATATAACAAACTTTTCAATACTTCAATGTAGGCTTTTCACTGATTTTGAAGTAATAATATAATAAAATTGAATAATTGAATATACTTTTTAGTTGCTTGTCCAACCAAAAGTGTCAGACACATCCCATATCTGAGTCCGAGTATTGTGTGTCTTGACACGGATATTTCACATTTTTTTTTTTTGAAGTGTCCATGTAACATAGCTGTGTATGTACTTATAAAAAAAAAAACATAGCTGTGTATGGGCTATACTTGAAGATGGTTTCAACTTTAATGACAACTTTGTGTCGGGTAATAGCGTGTCAAGTGAAAAGTGGCTCATTTGTTGTTTGTAGAAAATGCACTCTAGAAATGGTATAGGAGAATTGTGTTTGTGGTGCTAGTGTATTAGCACTATCTTAATAAGCAATTTTAGCTAAATCAAATTATAGGAAAGTGGTTTTCAGCTTGGGTGCTACTTGCATAGAAATAGATAAGTTCATCATTTCATCTCATGATATGAAAGTTCGTCACACACACACACACATATAGATATATATAACATTATTTATATTACATTTCTATTACATTGATAAGGATATACAGCCTTACCCAACAGTGGGAATACACTTATTTTCAATTTTGGGTGAATTTTTGAAACCATGTCGGGCAAATTAAACTTTCACAACTTGTAAGTGTTTGCCTATTTCAACCAACTCATGCATAGGTTATTTTATTTTGCTTAGTTTAGATGATTTTAGTGGTGATAATGGTTATTGGAGTAAAGGTGATGATGGCTTCTGAATATGGTTTATTGGTTACCGGAATAGAGGTGGTGGAGGATTGGGTTAGTGGTTGTGATTGTCAAATTCATTAGTGGGTTTGGTGGATTTGACTTGTGGAAGTGACTGCCGGATTTTATAACCCACTATCGGCCTAGGCAGTGTAACCTCTCCATTCCAAAGGGGGGGAGCTGACGGGTTCGAGTCCAAGTGAGCTGTTTAACCCCCCCCCACACCACCCCCCCCCCCCCCCCCCCCCCAAAAAAAAAAAAAAAGAAGAAAAGCTGGCTGCTAGAATTAGTGGTTGTAGGATTTACTTGTGTTGCAAGGAGAAGCTCGCAGCAACACCCATCAATGAAATTAGGACACTTCATTATTTTTGGCACTCTCTCTTTTTTCTCTTTCTTCTGTTCAGCAAGATAAATGAATAAAATTGATACATATATTAAATTGATATATAAAAAGATTAAAAATAATAATAAAAGGGATCTCATCATGGAAGTTGCGCAAGTCACTGTTGAAGTTTATTGAGCCAACGCCAAGCGGGTAAATCAATTGGCCCAAGGGGTTGGCTCAAGTGGGTAGGTCACTTGGCCTTGGTGCCTCATGTAAATTGATTCTATCATGTGCGATTTACAGACTCCTCATTTTTTTTAGTGAATATTGTAGAGAACTCCGTTTTAGATTCTTATTAACTCCTGGATGACAAGAAATGTTCCCTTTTTAATGTGTTTTGCTTGTTCATTACTAATATTATTTATTGAATCTCTCTCTGTGAATTATTTCTAAAAAGGTTGCCTGTTTGTTTATCATCAGTTGCTTTCTAAATTCTTCATGAGACATTACAACAATGCACAAATTCCTGATCTTGGTGTTGTCATTACTTCAGCTTCACGTGTTTTTGCATTATGTGACTGTACTATCTTTTCAATAAATATTTTCTGTTGGTCTATCCTCTCTCTAATGTATATTGGTTCCCTCCAAATAGAGTCATTTCAAATGACTTTCCAGGTTTTTATACATTGCATGATCTTTGAGGAGCTATTGTTTCACTTGTCTATTCAGATCATTTTAATTTCACTTATATATATATATATATATATATATATATATATTTGGTTGTTTTAGAGAGTGGTTATTTGCTGCTGTAATCTGTTATTTTCGTTGTTTTTCTTGCTCATTTAAATCTTATACTGTAATGCTTGGGTGATTTCTATTTTAATATCTCTATCTTATTTGCGTTTTAAGACAGAGCTAATATCTGGGGACCAAAATGGAAATATACGCGTTTGGGATTTGACGGCAAATTCATGCAGCTGTGAATTGGTATGTGTTGGTATAGCTTATCATATTTGTGTTTGTGTGCAAGTACGTGATTATGAATTGCTTGAAAATAGAGTGATTCTTGTAAATTTCCTTTATCAGGGGCATTTAAAATAACATCTCACGCAGAATATGTAGACACACACTCCTTTTTCTTAATTCAGCATGTTGACGTGTTTAAGAACCATCAACAATCCCTGAAATATATCTCTTTTCTGTAAAGTTTATTCTGTCTTTTTAGAAAAAAACTGATTTGTGATTCTCCTGGAAAAAGAAAAGTTGAATTTTTTATCTTTCTAATGTCATTCTATCCGAAAGGACATATCAAAAAGCCCTGAAATATAATTCTTTTCCATAAAGTTTATTTTGTCTTTTTAGAAAAAAACTGATTTGTGATTCTCTTGGAAAAAGAAAAGTTGAAATTTTCATCTTTCTAATGTCATTCTATCCGAAAGGACATATCAAAAAGCCCTGAAATATAATTCTTTTCCATAAAGTTTATTTTGTCTTTTTAGAAAAAAACTGATTTGTGATTCTCTTGGAAAAAGAAAAGTTGAAATTTTCATCTTTCTAATGTCATTCTATCCGAAAGGACATATCAAAAAGCCCTGAAATATAACCCTTTTCCGTAAAGTTTATTCTGTCTTTTTAGAAAAAAACTGATTTGTGATTCTCTTGGAAAAAGAAAAGTTGAAATTTTCATCTTTCTAATGTCATTCTATCCGAAAGGACATATCAAAAAGCCCTGAAATATAACCCTTTTCCGTAAAGTTTATTCTGTCTTTTTAGAAAAAAACTGATTTGTGATTCTCTTGGAAAAAGAAAATTTGAATTTTCAGCTTTCTAACGTGTGCATCCGAAAGGACAATGGGGATAAGTTAAAAAAATGAAAGGAGTAATCTTCATTTGCATTTAAAAGTTTAGGAGCCGTTACTTTGTGTAATGGAAAAAACTTGGGCAGCCAAACTTGAGAACATGGCTCAAGAGCAGCCACTCTTGTGCAAGACAATGTAAGAGGTTAGGTATGTCTAGTCCACCCCTGCCAGCACTCACAGGTGGGACTAGCATTAAGTAATAGCTTTTTATAATCTGAAAATGTAAATCCAGGTACCAGAAGTGGATACAGCTGTGAGGTCTCTGACAGTTATGTGGGATGGAAGCTTGATTGTTGCTGCAAATAACAAGGGGACATGCTATGTTTGGCGTTTGCTGAGGGGAAACCAGGTTACTTTTTTTAGAAAGCAATATTCTCCCAACTGCTTTGATATGAACTTGCCTTTACAACTCTTCGTTTTAATTTGTTCTGCTACAGATGATGTCCAACTTTGAACCACTTCATAAACTACAAGCACACAATGGTTACATTTTGAAGTGCTTGCTGTCACCAGAGTTGTGCGATCCCCAACGGTCTGTTTCATACAAATTCCTCCTTCCCTTCTTTATTTTGCCATATTGAAGCAATTTTCCTTTCAGCATTACTTTTACTCCATACAATTTATACCAGTAACTGTAGTGCTTATTTTTACTGAATGTTTTGTTTTCTAGATATCTGGCAACTGCATCATCTGACCATACAGTTAAAATATGGAATGTTGATGGCTTCACCTTAGAAAAAACTTTAACTGGTAATTCTTAAAACCGATATCATTCGAATATTTTTATGTTTGTTTCGGAAAATATCAACGGCTTTTAACACAGATACCTCTTTATTTTGTTAACCAGGACATCAACGGTGGGTTTGGGATTGTGTCTTCTCTGTTGACGGTGCATTCCTAATCACAGGTACCGGGCATTGATTCCAATATGTATATACGATTCCCCCACGTTCTGCAGCTCACCTTGATTTGTGATTGCCTTGTGCAGCTTCCTCCGATGCAACAGCTAGGCTTTGGTCAATGGCAGATGGGGAAGCCATGAGAGTGTACCAAGGGCACCACAAGGCAACGGTGTGCTGCGCCCTTCACGATGGAGCTGAACCTTCACCTTCTTGAATGCAGCATTCAGTAATTTTCTTTTTTTTGTACAGAATTGTAAGCATTGTGGAGACATTATTTTATTGCCTTGTATTATTATCATATAAATATAGGGGTTGTTTGGTTTAGTTTTAAGAACTTTGAAGGAGATACAAGTTTTCTAAGAACTAAGAAAAGACTGTTTTCTGAATTTGAGAACTTGTGATTTTATTATCCACTTATGTGACAATTATTGATATAAATATCTTAAATTAACTTATGGTTTTTTATATAATAAAAAAGCTATATAAATAGCATAACATTTTAACACGATTGAATTCCATTGTAGCACTATTCAAGCATCGCACTTTCTCAGTTTGCGTCTATGAACCCACTCTACTCTATCACACTTTTCTACGACCTATAAGCCTAACATCTCCTTAGAAGTCTCTTTGGTAACAAGTATTTCTCAACAAATTACTCAAGCTCAACACCATACACTTTGTGACTTAAATTTTATCGTTTTTTGCGATGATGTAATTTATATTATGATTCTTCTTTTAGTTGAAGGTGATATGAAGTTACGGAATATAGATCATATATCAATTGTACCAGACCCCTAATGAAGGACAGCATTCACAAGGGATTGAAAAAACAAAATTATATTATTTAAAATAAATAATTGATTTGGCAATTAAACCAATAACCTATATGGAAACAAGTGAACAATGTAGTAAACATTAATGATGTAAACTAGAAACCCAATTGCCTTGTCAATCAAAGCACAATCATATTACCTTAATGTAAACTATAAAACAAAATTTCCTTAAAAATTTTAAAAATAATAAAAAAAAAATCAAAGAGGATTACGACAAATTGGGCAGATTGATTTGATCTTAAACCACCTATCAATGCATCTAGCATGAAAAGTGTGATTACAGATTGGAAGAACCTTACATTGATCGCCATTCATGAAGTCCAACCAACAGATGACGCACTCACTGTCACAACCTCTTCTTCTTTCATTGCTTTTGTACCAAACAACTTTCAACTTCCTCTTCTTCTTTCTCGTGTTGATCGCTGGTTTTTGTGTGGCTGTTCCGACTTGTTGATTTCTGCCTATTTTATGCAAAGATAATAAGCAACAACCGATCACAACCATCACGACCACCGCCAAAAAATTCCATAATATCACTCTATATTGCTTGTTGAGCTCGTCGTGAGCAGTCATGGATTCTTCTGTTTTTCACAGAGAGTGAAGAGGAGGAATATAGAGAGGATAGAGAGTCCGAGAGCAGCTGTGTAACGGAGACATATGTTTTCGAGTTTGATTATGAGTCTAACAAACTTATTAAAGAAACATGCAGGGCTTGTGGAGTCACAAAAATTAATTGGCCCAATCAACTTTTATGGTAATTTTCCTTTTTTTGTTAAGACTTCGTTGTGATGTCAAGTCTTTTAAACTACTTCATAATTTACATGTAAAGTTTCTTTTTATATGCATAGACAAAATATACATTAATTTAATGCAATTCAATCTAGTAAGAAAAAAAAAAAAAAAAAAATTTGTTCGATCATTGAAATTACAAGTCCAATGATTATAAGGAGTAATGGAGTACTTCTACTCGAAAATTATGTTTCCTTAATATCATGTGTTGTACTTTTAAAATTTATGTTGCACCGGACAAGGATTCTATTCAGCACAGTATTCAATGGTTGAGAGTGCATCATCACTAGTGAATTTTATTTATCAATTCAATTTCAACTATTAAATACTGTGTTGGACTTGTCCTGCGCTGGAGAGGTTCCGTATTGCACCCGTTTATTAGCAAAAAGAAAAAAAAAATCATATTAAAATAATAAAATAAAAATTAGAGAAAATAAAAAGTTTTAACGGAATTGATTTGGATTACCCAAAACAAAATACATTAGGGACCCCACAGAAGAGGAGCCCAAGCCCACTTGGTTGAAGGTCCAACCATCTGAAATTTAAATGGAGAGAAGCGTTATAACGGTAACAACTCCACAATGCGGTAACAGAGCAAGCTTTGTTTCCCAGGTCAGGTGGTGGACGAATACAGAGGAGAGGAAAGAAGTTCCCATTCGGTAACAATACGCCTGGCCATTGAGGAATCAATGAGAGTTTGCAGAGAGTACGTTGGAGGGACAGAATTTGCAGAGTTTCTTCTTCTTGAAGTTCCTCCGATTTCGTTCGCGCCAAATATTATAGACAAGGGATGCAAAAGGCAGCCTAAGATGCTGATTTTCTGTTATGAAGTGAGTTCCATGCCGCTAAATGCGAGCATGTTGATGGGAGAACTTGGAACCCACAAGGTGTTTGTAAAAATGACTACAAGGGATTCACAAAGACCATTTGAAGAAGAGATGATAGTGGGATTCTGGCTCATTGTTGCAGATTACACAGAGTGTTGTATTTGGAAAGGATGTGCAGCTTCTGTTCGGAGTTAGAAGTGGTTTCTGAATGGCCACCCACAAGGTAAAGGAGTGTTTTGGAATCGAGGGTTTAGACCAAGCTAGGTGTGGCCAAGGTAAGATGGGAATGCTTGTCGAGGTAATTTATGGTTTGTGCAATTGAGGTATCAAGCTGAACTTGTCATGTTTGTGTGGGCAAGGATTGGAGTTGTGGAATGATAGTGGTAATGGTTGGGGGAAAAGACCAGGCAGAGTCAGCAATGAAGGAACTAACTGTGGTTTTGCTGTCATAGGTGGATTCAGTAAGTTGCCAGCTATCAAACCAGAAATTAGTGTTTCTTCCATTACCAATTTCAAGCTTGACAAGAGGTTGAATGGCTGCTCTGAGTTGAAGGAGCTTTCTCCAGTTCTTCATTTTAATTTTGAAATCATGACATTACTTCAATCTATCAAATGGATGAAAAAACACCACATCACCATCTTGATTAGATTAAGTGGGGAATATGGTGGGTAGTTGTAAAATGTGCTGTGATACATTTTTGTCATTGGATGGATGATCGGAGATATTGGTATAGAGAAATACTTGGAGAATATTTGAATCCTTCTAAAAAAATCTGCTAGAAAATCTTTCTATAAATATATACAATTTTCTTGGATTCTCACTTTCCAGGTTATAAATAGCCTATGGATCATAGGAAGGGTTACAAGTGTTCTGGGCAGTGGTGAGATTTTTGGACGACGTCGAGTGTTTAAGTGTAGGTGGCTCTCAGGATCTGGCGCTTTTGCAGGCTGCTTCACATTACGGCCAGGAACCATCTTCTTGGACATCTGCGCCGATGGAGCTTCACATACAAACACGGACTCAGCTGCCGTCGACAGAGCCTCCAAATCAGCTGGGGTTCGGAGCCATTGGTGAAAAATGCATCGTGAGAGCGAATCATTTTCGCGTAGAGGTTGCCCAGAGAGACATTCACCTGTATCAGGCAAGTTGTTAAAAATATGTGTTAAAGAATTTCGAATATATCGTGCCTAATTCATATTTCACTGTATAAGTAGATATATTCAGATTTTTTATTTTTGTTTGGTGGATTAGGTGTCAAATGCAGATACTTCAGCAACTACATTATATAAATCGGTACAAGTTATCGATTATATTAAAGATTGTGGCGTGACAAATCCAAAAATGAAAAGGGTACTTTCTGTTGAAGACCATGTTAAGGTAGGTTCCTCTTTTTTCAATTTTCTGGCGTTTCATAGTAAATGGTAGAAAAGGAAGAACTCATTATTTTTGACATGGAAGGTATTTAACAGTACTAATGCTATTTTTTATTTTGTTCATACCTAGTCTGACTTATCTTGAATATTTTTCAGTCAATGTCAATGTGATTTCTGTTTTTCTGGTTAGTTCATGATGAACTATTTTGTTTGTAATTTTCAGGTTAACGAAGCTCTGAAGGGTGTTAGGGTGAAGTTAGTCTCAGGACCGGTCAATTAAGACACTACACAGTGTCAGGAATATCGGCTCAACCATTGAACGAACTAGAGTAAGCTCCTGATATGTCTTTCTTTCAATCTGGGGTTGCTTTTTAGTATTAGATGGCAGTAGGAGAAGTTTCAGAAAGTGCCATTCTGTGATTAAATTTCGAAAAATAAAAGATATACAGTAATGTTTTAAAACTTTGTTGATTCCACTGACTTCATTTTTTTTTTTTTTTTTTTTTTTAAATAGGTTTCCTTTTGGCGGAGAAATGGTGTCAGTTGTTGAGTATTTCAAAAATATATACAGAATTCCCCTGCACTATTTGTTCTTGCCTGCTATTCAAGTTGGAAATGATACAAAACCGGTCTATCTGCCCATGAAGGTTTCCCTATTTATGTTGATTTTTCATACTGTCTTGTATTAGTGTAACTGTCATGTTTGCCAGTTCTGGTCTATGCTGACACTAGCTTTTTATTTCACTAAAGCTTTGCAAGATTATTGAAGGACAAAGACATGATTTGAAAAGGTTGAATGAGAAGGAGGTGGCTGCCCTGCTGAAGGCAAACTGTCAGCCTCCTAATGTCAATGAAGGAGATAGTAATCGGGTACAGATGAATTTGTTAAATCATCTTACCCTAAAAAGAACTACATTGGTTAAAGGTCCCCTTAAAAAAATCAATATGTAAAAGATGAATTGTTGATTGTGATTATTACTCGACATTGCTTTTTCTGTAGATGGTAGCGCGTAACAATTACAACAATAAGATGATTGTGAATGAGTTTGGGCTTCAAGTAAGTGCTGAACTTACTTCTATTGATGCACGAGTTTTTCCACCTCCAACGGTAATTATTATTAGATTTAATTTATGTTATGTGTAAAAAAATCATTTCTATTCGTGTCTTGTTTTATCCTTCCCCTCTGCTTTGATTGTCCAGCTTCAGTATCATGGTACTGGGCATGAGGCACTAGTCAATCCAAAGATGGGCCAATGGTGCTTGTTTAAAAAGGTGAACTCTCAATTATTTGTTTGGTATTTGCTGTCTGGTGAAATAAGCTTCTAGGGAAAAAAATTAGATTCTTTTGACTATAATTTTTTACTTATTGTACATCAAAAATCATAATTTGAAATAGACATTATACTTCTTGCCAAGTCCCTACTTCTCAAAGAGAGGTCAAGGGTTTGAGCCTCAATGGAGGCATGTGTGTGTGAGTACCAATTAGGAAAAAAAAAAAATCATAATTTGAAATAGACATTATACTTCTTACAAATAATGGCTTGGCTTGTTCTTGCCTTTTTCCCGAATATGAAGATAGTTGACTGGCATTCTGGTTTTCTTGCTCTATATAGAAAATGTTTAAGGGTGGCAAGGTGGAGTCTTGGACATGTATCAACTTTTCACAAATAAAAACAGAAGGGGCATCTGTTTTTTTGCTGTGAATTGATTTCTATGCGCATTGAGAAAGGGATGGTAGGTTTTAACCTTCTTCGAAGGCTTTTACTCATAATTGCACTCTATGCCCTTAATTTAAAGAATTTTGACATTAACTTTTGTGACAATTTTGAATGGGTTTTGATAGGAAGCCTTTGCTTCTGATCCTAATGATATTGAGGAAGAGCTAACTGAAATTTATAGTAGATCGTCAAGCCCAACTTCAGTTGTTAATTATTATTTTGCCCGATGTGGGGGGCTCATATGGTTAGTCATCAAATCCAAACTTTGAAATTTGTGGAAAGATGTGATTGCCTTTAGAAATGACATTTGACTCTTACAGGGACAATCAAACGTATATGCGAAACGAAGTTGGGCATAGTTTCACAATGCTGTCAGCCTCGGAAAGTACTACAGGGTTTGATGCAGCATCTTAAATCCGTGGTACTTAAGATCAATGTGAAGGTTTGTTCTTTATCATATGTGTACTTGTGCTCATGGTTTCTTTAGTTCAAAATTTTAACTTATATTGTGGATTATAATTTCATAGTTTCTTTAGTTCAAAATTTAACTTATACTGTGGATGATAATTTTACGTTGGAGGGCAAAATAGTGTCTTAATGAATGCTGTCAAAAGAAATGCATTCCTTTTATTTCTACTGATTACACAATTATCTTCGGTGCTGATGTGTCTCATCCTCATCAAGGGGATCATTCTAGCCCTTCGATAGCTGCGGTATTTTGTTAAACAGACTCTCTTAGCAGGCAGCATATCAGTTATGCTAAAAAGCTTGAGTGTTTTTTTACAGGTTGTTGCCTCTATTGACTGGCCGGAAGTAACGTACAGAGCAGTTGTCTCTGCACAGCCACCTCGGAAAGAGATCATCCAGAATCTCTATACTGTCACTAAAGCTCCTATTAAGGGCCTAGTCCACGGTGGGATGATCAGGTAAAAAAACTTAAGAGAAAAAAAAAAAAAAAGAAAAAAAAAAGAAAAAAAAAAAAACTTAATTTGTTCCATGTTAATATTTTTCCTCCTGTTTTTGTATTAAAATGTTTATCTATTTGCTTTTCTCTTCATGTTTGGCAGGGAACTTCTAATGGAATTCAATAGGTCCACGAATCACAAACCTAAAAGAATCATATTCTACAGGTTTATGCATACTCTTGAAGGGTCTAACTTATTAAAATTGCTTTTATTTACAATTTCTGATTTATTTTTATGACAGAGATGGCATCGGTGAAGGCCAATTTGCACAAGTTTTGCTGTTTGAAATGGATGCCATCCGGAAGGTACTTGTTATGTTCGGATTTATCCTCTTCTTATCAGGATTTGGTGCCAAATTGATCTCTCTTTTTAACTTTTTTCTTTCAGGCTTGTGAGTCTTTTGAGGAAAATTATCGGCCATTGGTTACCTTCGTGGTAGTGCAGAAAAGGCACCATACAAGTCTGTTTCCAGCGGATGGTACAATTCACAACATTTTACCGGGTAAATTTGATTCTTCTCGAGGTTATCTGGATTTTTTTCCCCCGGAACTATCATCAACATTGTGAACTGTCTTGTGCTTTGTGATCAGGTACTGTTGTGGACAACATGATCTGCCACCCTACCCAATTTTATCTTTGCAGTCACGCAGCTACTAAGGTAAACTCAATTTATTGGAAATTCTTGTTATAGGTGTACATACATACATACATGTATATATGTATAATGCTCTGTGTGATAATTGTCATTGTTGTGTCTATTGTTTGAGAAGGGTGTTAGCCGTCCCAAACACTACCATGACGAGAACAACTTCACTGCAGATGGCCTTCAAACACTGGCAAATAATCTGTGTTACACGTACTTTTTTCCTCTCTCTAGACTTTTTGATATATATATATATATATATATATATATATATATATATTTGTTCATTTTTAACTTCAGACTAGTTTGTAATATCATCTGAACTATTTTATTCTTCCAGCTCTGCAAGGTATACAAGATCGGTTTCCATTGGTTTGTCCTTTGATCTGTTGACCTCGTTATTCTATTTTATAATCATTGAAATCAATAAATCCAAATCCTTATGCCTTCTGGTTCTTGAAGTATTAATATCAATTTTTATTATTTATGCAGTGCCTCCTGTTTATTATGCCCATTTAGCTGCAAATCGTGGTCGTTGTTATATGGAAGATGATATGTCGGACACTGCCTCTACAAGCGGTGGCAGGGGCTCAAGAGAGAGGGACGTGGAGGTCCGGCCACTTCCGGGCATCAAAGAAAATGTCCAAGCTGTCATGTTTTACTGCTGAAATACAGTAAAACATCACAGCTTTTGAGTGAAGTATAACTTTTCATTCGAGTGTATTAAATGAATATTTTTTTAATTAGATGATGGTCAATCCTTGGTGATATTAATTTTTGTCTCACTACACTAATTATATATAGTTCTACACATGAAAGTAGGAATTTTCGTATTTAAAGAATTTTTGTATTGATTCCTTGTCATATAGTAGTCTACATTATTGCTGCTTCTTCATAAATGTGATTACAACGTGTTTTTTTTTTATAAGAATATATTTCGAACAATTAAAAGTCATCATGTTGTCAATTACATTTGCTTTTTCTTTTGCATTATTTTGTTAATCCAATTTATCCAATTTAAAATTATAGTTCAAGTTGAATGAGTTCGTAAAGAAATGATAGTTCAATTTGATCAAATTTAAAAAATAGAGAAGATAAAAGTTTAACGCAATTAAATGATGCACCTTTATTTGTTTGTTTGGACGTAAAATATTTTTTTCGAAAAAGATTTTTTTATTTTTAGATAAAATATTTTTTTATTTTTACTTTTCGGTATTTGTCAAATGTTTATGTCGAGGTTGAGAATGAGTCAATTGGGCGAGACGTGTAAAATAACTTGTTAAAATTTAATGAATACATTATTTTTATGAAATTTTAATAATTTTTTCTTGGTAAATATTTTACAACAAGCAAACATAAAAAAATAAAAAATATTTTTCATCTAAATGGAACCTAAATGACTTCTGATATATACGGTGTGTGTGTGTGTGTGTGTGTATATATATATAGAGAGAGAGAGAGAGCTCATGAGTATTTAAATGAAATGTGGCTCATTGTATTTCCATTATTTGTTTTTCTTCCCCCATATGATCCATATAAAATCAAATTGTGCTCCATTTAAAATTGAAACACAAATGACATTACTTTAATTTATTCCTTTTAAAGTTGAAATCAAATTCAGACTCCATGCCCTTGTTTCAAAACTTCCGTTACTAAAAAGACTTTTCATCTTTAAAACATTGTTATTTGTACTATCAACCAATTATATTATGTCGTTTAAGTAAAAATATTTTATTTTAGTAAATTTTATCACTATGCAATCAGTATTTAATAAGTTGGTGATACCATATCATCACTACAAATATGACGAGAAAGGGTGGATTGCAAACTTTTGGATAAGTTTTGGGAGAATATTGACAAATTAGAAATTAATGGGGTAATTTGTCAATTTTTGATAGTTTAGGGGATTTTTCTGCATTTTCCCTAAAAATTGATAGTTCAGATAGCAAACGACGACGTATTATTTTATTTGGCTTCCTTTAAATACACGAAGAAGACAAGCGATCAAAATCCTCTTCCCCCAATCGCGTCTGTGTTTTGCTCTCTCCAGTCGGCATCTGATTAGGGTTTGGTTTTGACATCACAACAGGTACAGCATCGATTCTTTGATTTTCTTTTACTATATTGTGTATTCAATTCGTACGAATGAGAAATTAATTTTTAATTGTGTTGTATTATGACTATTAGATTAATATACCTAGTTGATGCATGATATGAACTTTTTAGAGTTTTTCAAACAAACCCTAGATCTTAATCCATTATTGTCTAATTTGAAATCAAGTCAGGTTAAGATTTAAGATTTGAATGATTTTACTTTATTTATTGTCGATTTTTACTAAAGCAAAACTCGAAACCTTATTTGTTCGATTCCTTTCTACCTCAGATTTTGTTCTTCCATTTTCTACAAGATGCCGGCGACAGCAGGTAGGGTTCGTATGCCCGCAAACAATCGGGTGCACAGTAGTGCTGCCCTCCAAACTCACGGTATATGGCAGAGTGCCATCGGATACGACCCTTATGCCCCCAATAAGGAGGATAACAAGAGTTCCTCCCAGGTTAAGTCTTCAAATTCGGAGCCGGAGGGTGAAAATGCCTATGCCAGCTTCCAGGGATTACTTGCCCTTGCACGAATAACTGGTTCTAATGCTGATGAAGCTCGTGGGGCATGCAAGAAGTGCGGGCGTGTTGGTCATCTCACCTTCCAATGTAGGAACTTTTTGAGTGTAAAGGATGATATTAAGGAGAAAGAACCGGATGATATTCAGGCTGCGGTTTTGTCTGGGTTGGATAGATTAAAAGGGAATGGGGCTAAGGTGAAGGGTAAAGCTGGGGTTGAGAGTTCCGAGGAGAGTTCAGAGGAGGAGAGTGAGAGTTCAGATTCTGATTTTGATTCGGAAATTGAGAGGGCTATTGCTGATAAGTATGGGAAGAAGGTTAGTAGTAAATCAAAGTTGTTAAAAAAGAAGAAAGTGGATTCGGATGAAGATGGTTCTGATTCTGGGGATAGGAAGAAAAGGGGTAGGTCCAAGAAGAGGAGAAGTGGGAAGAGGAGGCATAGTGATTCTGATGATGAGGATGATGGTGGTAGGAAAAGAAGGAAGGAGAAGAGGAGGAGGAGGGATGAGTCATCAGACGAGGATGATGAGCCTCGAAGTCGGAAGAGAAGAAGTAGGAAGGAGAAGAGGAGGAGGAGAAGTCATAGGCAATCTGATGAAACGGATGTGTCTGAGGAATCTGCTGGACGACACAAGCGGAAGGGCAGGAGAGCAGCTTCACCATCTGGTTCTGATGTCAGCGGTTCTGATGATTCGCGGGTTGGCCGGCACAAAAGGCGTTCAGAGAAGAGGAGCAGAAAGCGCCACCATGAAGAAGAGGACTAGTTTCTGTATGGAAGGTAATGCATTATTTGTTCTTCTGGTTTCTTTTTTGTTTTGCAATATGAAATGCATGTTGGGTACTTGGGATTCTGTCATTCTACTTGAAGTACAGATTTTGTATCTGGGTTTTCTGTTACAAATGCAGAAATGTTTATTTCTTCATGTAATGTTTGATTTATGGAAATTAAATCTTCATTTGGTTTCTTGACTCTCTCTGAGTTGACACTTTTCCAGGTCATGGGCAGTCTTATGTAATTCACCGTGCCTCCAGGGGTGAACAACTTATTTCTCAGTCTTTTAAAACTTCCCACTAATTATTATGTCAATATTCATTGACCAATTTATATTTTGTTCATGTGGGATTAGCTTAACATTTAAACTTTTATACACTTGTTTTCTTCTTCTGTTTGCTTCATAGAACTTCTTCAATTTCAGATATTATAACTTTTGAGCTTACATATTTTATTGAGATACAATTCTTAGTTAGGATAGTGATGTGATTGTGTCAAAGTCAATCTATAAAGTCATTGGAAAAATTAAATTGCACCTTGATGGCCCAGGAATCTACATCATGTTAGGTGCTGTGCTTACTCTACATATGTTGTTCTTAGTGTCTTATCCTTAAAGGCCGATACCAAGGCTTAAGGAGGGTTGCATTTGGTAGCCTATAAACAACATAAAACACTTATTAGGTCTATATGAAGATGAATTGCAAGAATAATCTAATTATTGCTTTGTGTTTTTATCCTCAAGGATAATAGGTATCTTATTGTGCTACGTTTGGTGTGCAGGAATGGAATGAAATGGAATGCCCATTCCAACCATTCATTTGTTTGGTGTGCAAGAATGGAATGGAATGACCATTTTATTGGAATGAAAATCCATTTCAGGGAATGAAAATCCATTCCATTACTAAACCTATGGAATGGCCATTCCATTCTATAGTAAGATTAAATATTTTCATCACATTCCCGATCAGCCCTTCATCACATTCCAATAAGGCAAAAATCTTTCGCATAGAAAAAAAATCTTTCACATTCCATTTTTCACGTTTCTCGAGCTTCTTTATTAGACGTGGTAAAGGTCTTTCACCTTCCCTCTCTTCTGAATATACACAGGGCTGCCATTGACAAAAAGTTGCATGACCTTTTTTTTTATATATTATTGAGATTGATATATCATTAAAAATATATATATTTTTTATTGTTTAGCCGTTACATCAGCTTCTTAGGTTAAGTATTTAATCCGTTTTTGGATAAAATTGTACTAACAAATTTATGTGTGTGTCTTTAATCATGGTGGATTGGTTTAGTTGTAAAACTTGAATCTATTCAAGATTTAAAGCCAATTCTAGAACACTATTGTGACCATGGGGCTGGGAAGTGGCTACGTTTTGTGCTTGCGTCTTTTGGGAATTATGATATTTTCCCTTTTGCAGTCATTTATTAAGATTAATATCATTAAAAATAATATTTTATTTTATTTTAAGGTTTTTCTTTATTTTTTCCAATGGTAGTATTGGGCATCTTATAACATTCCATAATTCATCGTCAGAATATTAATTAGATTGATTTTATTAAAAGTTAATGTAAGCCAACGAAAAGGGCATTTTTGAGAAAAATCATTCCATTCCAGATTTAATGATAATCAGCCAAACAATAGAATGGTAATAATCATTCCATTCCAGAACGATTCATCGTGTCACACCAAACAATGGAATGAGAATACTCATTTCATTTCATTCCATTCTCATTCTCATTCCATTCCTGCACACCAAACGTAGCCTTAGTGTCTTGATGTTCCTGAGAAGTAAGGGTTAGTTCTCAAATTTGAATGAGTGCGGATAAAGAAGCTAGTCCAAGTTAGTAGTTTTATACTATAGACATTGAATGTAGGAATGTTGATATGTTAATGGATGGATTCATGACACTGAAGAAAGTGTAATATAACATGCCTACGAAACACAAGGAAGGTAGGAGAGTAGGCTAGAGAAACTGAGAATATATTATATAAATTATATTATAGATATAAAAGTGGAGTAGAGACTAGGGACTAGGTACTCGTTGACAAGGTTTTTCAAGAAAACATTGGAACTATTACTAGAAAAGGGGATAGAATAATACTCTCTCTTTTAAAAGATAATCGTCTTCTTTTCCTTTTGGGATTTTTTTAACGTGTGTTTTTCGAAAAGGCAATGTACAAATTCTAAAACTTTCTTAAATTATACTTGGGTTTTGGAAACTCTCAAATTAGCAATGTAAAACTATACATTCTGGAGGGTTAGTTTTGGAATTTCAAAGAGGGATATACATTCTATTGATGCCTCTAAAATGGCCGAAACCTCAAAAGTGACACTAACTTTGTGATGGAGGGAGTATAAACAATACTTGTACAAAGAGCAAAATAGATGATATTTCTAGCTCTCGTGCATCCTAATCAGGACAGTTTTTCGATGTTTTAAACTATTTATTAAAGGACAATCAATAATTAAAAAGGAGACTAGAGACTGGAATTGGGTGGTGAATTTAGAAAGGGAGAAAGTAGAATTGTTTAATGATAAGATTTCAAAAGAAGTATCAAGGAACTTAGGGGATGAAACTAAATATTGAGGGATAGGATGACATAGTGTATTACAAGAGTATCAAAAAATGTCCTTAGAGAGTCGAAAGGAGTAGAAGGGCCATTATCAAAGAAACTTGATGTTTTGTGACGAATGTCCAACCCCTTATTAAGAACAAAAAATGACTTACAAAATTAGCTAAGATTAGAAATACAAGAACTTTTAGAGAATGTAAATATTCAAATAAGGAAGCTATAAAAGTATTAGGAGATGCTAAATCTAAAATATATACCGTTCTTTATTTTAAATTAGGTATAAAGGATAAATGAAATATGTTTTCTGTCTTTCGAAGTTAAATGAGTTTTAAGTTAGAGATTTTAATAATCTTACTATTATTGCTGGAGTTTTTTGAGAAGAAAACTGAGGATTTAGAGAAGTTAATATGCTGCCTGGAAGCTCAAATAGAGGCTTTGGTGGTTGATTGATTAACAACATGGTTAGACCCCAATCTTGTAACACCAGACACGGAGGCGTTGTTTCGGTTGATTCATTTGTTGCTTGCCTCAAAGGGACTTCACCTCTTGCCATTTTAAGAGGACAGCTAATAGAATGTCAATATGAAATATGTCCTACGGCTAGACGGTAGGACTCCGAAAGGCAAGACTTGGCATTGAGATACTGATTAGAGAAAGATTGAATCAGTTGCAGCGGATAAGAGCGGGACCAAGACTTTACAATGACCTCCCGGTAGGGCTTCAAAGAAAGATGATAAAACTGGATAAAGGTGAAAAAGTTATTATGAGTTGTTGTTAAACTAAAATAATTTAGGAAGCTTAGGTTTAGAACAATATGTTCACATTAGAGAGACCACTTTTTTTCGTATGATTATGTTTTCTTCAAGATAAAAATTACATTGAGGAAGATAAAAATAGGATAACTTTTAGGACCAGATGTCTATTGAGGCTTAGTGTAATGCTTAGGGATGGTGATGTGTGTCGCTAATGAAATTGCTAATGGGGATGTGTGACTGGTGTGGCCATAAAAATCTATTTGTACTTGGATATAACAGTAAAGAAGATGCTCAATGTTGTTCAAAATTTTATGGTATTAAACTAATGAGTATATAGTATGGAACTCAGAAAGGGAGTAATTGAGCAACAATGAAGATTTGGAACTACAATGTGAAAAAATCAATTCGAGTTCATTTGAAGAGGTATAAATGAAGTAATATTCTTAAGGAGGAAACTAATGGAAATATGTATAGAAGAGAAAGATCTTTATACCTTTGATAGGGCTTGTAGAGATATAAAGTGATGGGTTTTAGAAAAGTGGTCATACTTAGATATATTGACATGATAGGGTCGTGTATGATGGAACTGTGAGTAAAGTGAGAACAATGGAGAAACAAGTGAATTTTCAGTTTCGGTATATTTGCATCAGTGATTAGCATTAAACCTTTTGTCTTTTCGCCTTAGTTGTAGATGATTTCGTCAACATCATCATCAACATCTTTGCTTTTGTCCCACGTGAATGGAGTTGGCCACATAAATTCTCTTTTTCACCATAATCATCATCACCATCATCTTTGCTTTTGTAACTTATCAAAAAAAAAAATCATCTTTGCTTTTGTCCCATATAATCCATGTTTCTAACAGTATTTAGTTTTTAAAAGCCATTTTTATCTACTTCATCCCATTTAAGTTTTGGCCGTCCTCTTTATCTACTTCATCCCATAAAAGCCATTTAAACCATGTCTCATCATCATCATCAACATGATCATCATCATCAACATGATCATCAACATCTTTGCTTTTGTCCCATATGAATGGAGTTGGCCACATGAATTCTCTTTTTCACCATAATCATCGTCATCATCATCATCATCATCTTTGCTTTTGTCCCATATAATCCATGTCTCTTACAGCATTTAGTTTTTAAAAGCCATTTTTATCTACTTCATCCCATGTAAGTTTTGGCCATCCTCTTTGTCACTTACCTTCTAGGCACATAACCCTTCCTCTCCTAACCAGTGCATCTTCCGCTCTACATTGTTTATGATGATACTACCTAAGCCTACTTTCTCTAATTTTTTCACTGATCATTTACAATAATTAGTTGTAGATGATTTTTTAGTATTAATTTAAGATGAGATTCCATGGTTGACAATATTTGCTAATTATAATGTTTTGATCGATGAAGCTAAAGCAAGGATAAATTCTAAGTTTGGAGTTTTGCCAAAAAGGATTAATTTTTCTGACCCCAAATATTTGGGACAATTTTTTCCTAGTTGATTTAGTTGTTTTTTTTTTTTCCTTTTTTGATAAGTGAGTAGAGTTAGTTGTTTTGCTAGTGTTTTGATTTTGTTTCCAATTAGAACAGTAACTTGTAGTGATTATAAAAGGTATATGTTGTCTTTGTCTCTCTAGGATCTCGGCACTTCGTATGAAAATGTGGAAGAGAGAAGAAACGAATACAGAACTTCTCAACTTAGGGTTACTTTGTTGATATTTTGAATTTAACATGTGTTGTTTACTTTCAATTGAGACATTAGTTTATTTTCCTTCCATTTTTCTTACCTGAAAATGAAATCTAGTTTGAAAGCATGCCTTTGAGCACAGTATTAGATCTGTTGAAGTTGTATCAAATTTGGAGTGCCTCTGCATTATGGGCTTGTAACATTGATTCAGTTGTTGATTTGGGTTATTTCCAAGCTGATTTGTTTATTGTTTCATCTCATGAAGGTTCCCCCCTTTTCTCTTACAGTTACTGTACTTCACACACTTTTTCCACTCCTTGCATTCCCACTTTCTGCTTACCCTCCCTTCATTTCTTGACCAGACGTGTAGAAGTACGACCACCATTAGCATCGTCCTTTTCTTCCAATTTATCTTACTCCTTTCAAACAAGATTATTCAAGTAGAGTGAAAAACTTGAAACATTTCTTTATTAATAGGAGAGTTTTTGGATGTCTCGTGGAAATTGGACTAGATCTTTTGAATTGAGGACATTGTGGCTTTGATTTTACTTAAATGGATACAATAATATCATTATTTTTACACTCACGTAAGGTCTAATAATACATATATATGAAGGGTCATTTAGCTTGAGTTCTAGAGGATGGATTATAGACTATATACTGTGACTACAAAAGTAAATGGAATTATTGAATTAACATTGGACATTTAGACTCATCTTGGGCTCTTTTCTGTTAAATCAGTGCAAAACATTTGCATAGGCTAGTATCTTGTTTGCAATGGAAGATGAAACTGAGTAGGAATGTGCTTTAATCTTTTGACTAGGACTCGAGTGAGGAAACAAAATGTAAAAACTCGCAATAGAAGAGTATACATGGAGTCTATGTTGCACTCAGATAGGAAACATAAGTAAATAAATAAAAGAATACACAGTTCTGTGGAACTCTCTCATAGAACACTGGGGGATGAATTTATACCACTTTAAAGTATGGAATTTTAAAATATACTGATATGTAGGTAGAGATTTAACTATTAAAAATATATGTATGAACATGTGACAAATCTTTGCAAGTCATTTTTAGACATGAACTGTAGATGTGAAAGCACAACATTACTTCCCCGCCTTGTTGTCTTTAGCTTAGGAGTTGCCAATAACTACGAGCCAATCACCAGTCCAAGTCCAGTCCACCGAGATTTCCTTTCTTGGCTATAGTTTTGTTTTATGCAGTAGATTAAGTATTTTTTAAATGGTTTTCTGTAACTCTTGGCTGATGATGATATTCGTGAATATACCCATGGTATTGTTGAGGTTGTCAGGTTATGTGCAATGTGGATGGTGTGGTGTGCTTTTGGATTGATTGTTTGCTAATGTGGAGCTTATTGGTTTTGCAGGAGGTGAAAAATAAAGATGATGATGCGTTGAATGTGGGGCTGATGATGTATCAAACCGTGGTTGGACGGACTGAATTTGTATTGGCTATTTGTGTATTATAAGATCCAGTATGTAAAATGTTTGGAAGGTAGCTCTAGAATACCTCAACATGAATGGAAACTTTAATGTGGGGTTCAGCACTGTTTATATTAGCTGACTTGTTTTAAAGCTGCTATTTTCTATGGTTATCGATCTGTATTGGGATGTGATATTTGCAATTTAATTCGACTCGAAAAAACAAATTTTTTTTTTTTTTTAAATTATTTGGGTTGGTAACATTTTTTCACTAGATCAAGGATGTAACATGAATTTGATCTTATTTTGATTTCTTACTAAGTGAGAATGGTTGAGACTTTAGACCATTTGTAATGTGAGCATGTGCCCTAACTTTATAGTATTACGGAAACAAGGTTGTAGTCTATGGAATAGTAATATATTTTTCAACGTTTTTCAAGTAATTCTTTTATTTCCAAAAGTAAATGGATACGGCAATAAAGGAAAATGTATTAGCAAATATCTGTTTCTAATAATGGTACTTTCATTAAGGTATGTTTCCATGATAGGCTACTGTTTTATTTATTTATTTTTAATAAAGTAAAAAGACGTTATTGTTCTGAAAAGGTATTAGTTGTTATATATTATTTTGTCCCTAATTTTTTATAGAGTTTTGAAAATGTTACCATAATGTGCTCTCTCCTTATTATTTTTTTGTCATTGGTAAAAAATTTACACACACATCACTCACACACCCACTTTATTCTTTTGAAGATTGGAATTATCACCATTCACTTTGAAAAATAGAAGAGATTCACAAGACTCTGTATGTGTACTCTCTCGTTGAGCTATGCCCTTGTATAAACTTCTATTTTCAATCTTATTTTTTTCATTATGTAACTTTATAATTCTATTTTTAATCTTATTTTTTTCACTACGGAACTTTATGAGTGAAAATTCAAGATTGATGGAAGAATGACTTTTTATCCACCAAATATACTTAAAAGAGAACCCTCTCACTATTATTATTAATTAATGAATATTTTGTTCCGTACAAAACAATTACGTGTAGGAGAGCCTAAAACTCAGCTTTCTTTAAAAATTACACAAAATAGGCTAAGAAGGGAAATTGATCGAAAAAGTTGCGTATGTCATGAGCTGGTCCATTTCCGATAGAAAAATGAATTTTTTGAGTCGAGTTAGATGCGTAAAACTATCTAAAAATGTGTCAGTCAGTCAGTCCATGGCCTTCCGAGAATCTAAATTGTCTCCATAGTTAGCAATCCATTCTAATTTTATCATAAAGCTGACTTGCATCACATTTTGTCACAAACTTTCTTTTAAATTGTGATACGTATAATATTAATACAAAAATATTTTGTAATAAGATTATAGAAAAAAATTACCATTCAATTTGGTCAAACCTGTCACATTGAAGCATTTCTTTTTGGAAAACGGAAACTCTGACAATACATATATTTTGAACTTGTGACAATAAAATTCAGGTGAAATTCGAATATATGCAATTATTTATAAATTACACATATAGTATAAATGTAAATGTTTTTGCACGAGAATCAAAATAAGATGAATGAGACAAGAAAGTATTGATAGATAGACTTTCGGTCACTCCATTAAAAAGTAGTAATTACTTATTCCTTTAAACTGTTATTTGGGAGTAAAAAGTAAAAGATTGTGTAATTACTTTAGTTTCGAATGACATATATGTCCTTCAAATTGAGGATATAGTTGCCTTTTTTTTTTTTGGACAAAATGTCTGAAAAAAACTTGTCAATTGATCAACTTTGACCATTAGTAAAACTGACCACATGGATCATTTTGTTAGACAAATGTGATTAGAAGTGGAGATAATGGTAAAAATTTAAAATTAGAAAAACAAAAAAGTAAGTGCAATAAATTATATCTCTAAGGAAGGAAGGAATGTGTAATTTACTCTAGAAATTAAAAGAAAAGAAACTTAAGATATCAACTTTGACCATTACTAAAACTCAACACATGGGCCATTTTTGTTAGACAAATGTGAATAGAACTGGAGATAATGGTAAAAATTTAAAATTAGAAAAAAAAAAAAAAAGTAAGTGCAATAAATTATATCTCTAGGGGGAGGAACGTGTAATTTACCCTAGAATATAAAAGCAAAGAAACTCGGGATACTCTTCATTACTACAACTTTTCACTAAGACACTACTTTTTCTTCTTATCCAAACAAGAAATCCATTTCCACCTTCTTCCATTCTCTTCTGAAAATACTAGTATATAATAAGGAAGAAGTAGATTAATTACCTCACATTATTCATCTTTCTCTCTCTTAATCGTCTTCTCCGTATGCGAAGCCGGCCTTTTCCAAGAAATTTGCATTATCAATGTCCCAAACACCTCCCAAACAATCCAAACCAGAGACGACGACGACGACTCTGACGAACACCCAAACCCATGTCAAACAACTGCTTGGGAATGGTTTGCATTTCACGAATCTCTGACCCAATCAGAGGCCGTTGCTGTCCCTCGGACCCCGTCGTCGACGACGACCCAGTTGTTCGGCAACATGGAGGACCGGTACTTGTGTGCCAGAGTCGCCGCCGCGTGCCGCCCTTTGCGTTTACATGCCTGAGGACAACTCGTGGCATGATTTTCCCAAGATGCAGTGCGAGCACCGTAACCCGATTGCTGCCGCCGCTGCGATTGTTGATAAATTTCTCTATCTTGCTGGAGGGTATGAAGGCAATCCAACTCGTAAGTGTTGAATTCGTGTTCATCTTTATGCATTGATTGTGCAATGTTATTGTTAGGACTTTCTTGGTTTAGTTTTCTGTAAATGGGTTTTTATTGTCAAAGATATGGAAATAGAAAATAGTTCAAAGTTGTTTAGTTGACATATTTTTTAATAATTAATGAGCTCAGAAAATTTCTAATTTCTGTGTTTGGGGTTTTGGAGTTTTCTTGAAAATTATTTTCAGAGAACTAAACCTGTCTTATGGCCAGTTTGAAGAATTGAAAAGCTGGAAAGAGTTCAAAGATTAGATTGATTTACAGTTTTCATAGTTTTATTCTGAAAATTGAGTTAAAAGAAAGGGACAAAAAAAAAAAAAAAAAAAAAAAAAACTGGAGACAGATTTGTTAGGACTTTCTTGGTTTAGTTTTCTGAAAATGGGTTTTTAATATCAAGATTTGAAAATAGAAAAATAGTTCAAAAAGTTGTTTAGTTGACGTTTTAAGAACTGTTTTCTGAAAGATGAGATGAGAGAAGGTCTAATTTGGGATAACTATATGTTGTAGTTCTTTAGTGTTCTTTAGTTCTATGAAGGTTTTTGGGTTTTGGAGTTTTCATCTTACGGCCAGCTTGGAGAATTGAATAATCGGAAACAGTCAAAGATTGGTTTGATTTAGTGTTGGCAAAATTGGTACATTCTGAAAATTGAGTTAAAAGAAGAAGAAAATTATGATTTCTTATAACTGTTTTTCGTAGTTTAGTTTCAGAAATCTTGGAAACGTATTCGAATTGAACCAAATAGGTCCTCAACTTGTTATCTTGTATAATGGAATTGCTCTCCTATAATTATGTATTCTGGCTTGTCGATTAGGGATTGCACCATTTACCAATCAGTATCACAATTAGAGCTTGAATGTAATGAGATGATGTCAGTCATTTTATATTGAAATAAAAGGCAGAGATGGTAGCAGGATTAGAATCGCTTGTAACCATAATTAGAGAGAGAGGTCCTGCTCCTCAATTAGAGAGAGAGAGAGAGAGAGAGAGAGAGAGAGAGATCATCCATGCACTTGAAAAGTGATGTATGTTTATCCATGTAGATAGTAAAGATGCTTTTTGTTAAGAGAGAGTTGGAACTGTGTAATCTTTTAGGTGACAAAAGGGGTTTTAAGGGTGTGCATTCTTCCAAGAATTTTCTTCCCCTCTTGACGCGGAGGAACAATTCTGGTGAAATGAATGTTGAGCAGCATCATTGCGTGTTGATCATGGAAGTGAAGGTTATGATGTAAGTTGTAACAACAGATTGAGAATACTTGAGTGGGCTACGAGATAACGATTGCATTATCTCATGAATGATGTAATTTTCAAGTCTCCATAACGGATTTAACTCTATCTTGTTCGTGGTTCATTTGCTCTTGGTTGTTGTTTGTTCATTTTTTTTTTTTCATTCTCCATTTGTTTGATCTAACACTTGCACAAGGTCCTTGAAGGTTTTGGGCAAACTCACTCAATCCTAACAGTTGCATTAGTGAACCTCATTTGACGTTACCTTCTTATTATATGCATATCTTCTCTTCAACCTGGACTATACATTACTAGCTAGGATTCTGAACTAAAAGTGTTGGAAATGTGCTACAAATTGCTTGTGCTATGAATTGCTTTGCTATAATTTTAATGAAACTCTAAGCATTGAGAAATTGATATCTTGTTAATTTTTAGATAGAAAAGAGAGCATGCAAATCATTGGTTTAGATCTCATTCAACTAAATTGATATTTTAGAAACTTGATTTAATACAATTAACATATGATGAATCCGATTCTTCTTTGCCTAAAATTTTAATGCTTCTAAAGCATAATGTTGGGATAGTCAGTTAAGGGGAGCCAGATTGACATTGTCCTCCAACCTTGTTTAACAAAATAGTTTGTTGTTTTAAGCGCTTTCTAAAAGTTGAAGAGGCTGCAGAAGTGACCTTGTTGGTTTTACGGATTATGTTTCAGTTTAGAAAAAAATCAAAGAACATTCTACCACCCTGGCGAAGTGCTCCTACCCTGATACGCTGATACCAGCCTCTTACGACCGCTTTGTATATTGGTAGCTAAGTGTTTCTTCAATATAATATGTCGAAGCAGCATGTTATTTACTCTTGAGAATTAGATCACTTTTTGTGGTCATTGAAATTCAGTCTATTGAAATTGCTTTTGACATAATGTTACGACCAACAGATGCTGATCCTTCTGCTTATCTCAACTCGGCAGAGCGGTTTAACCTCAGTACAGGGGAATGGCAAGCATTGCCATCCATGCAAAAAGCAAGGGCATTTGCAACAGGTATTGCTCACAAGGGCAAATTTTACGTTTTTGGTGGCGCAACTCCTAAGCACTCAGCTGAAATCTACGATCCTCCCTCAAATACATGGTTGTCTATAGACTCATTTGTGCCAGAGGAGGCCGATGGGTATGCAGTGACATCGACGTTTATGAATCTGGTAATACTGACCTGGTCAGATCCACTAGGCGTAAAACTGTGGCTGCGGGTTGAAAAGAGTAATGAAGCTTTGGAGAATGGTACGTGGACGATTGTCAGTGACTTTCCAAACAATGAAGAAGTTGACAGGTTGCGATTCAGGCATCATGGGGCAAAAATGGTGAAACTTGGGAACGAGGTGTGTGTTCTGATGGGAAAGACTGATTGTGTTTGGAGAGTGGGTGGACCAGTAGCGTGGCCAATTTCCATCTCCAAATTTTTGTCCTGGCGGTGGGCATGAAGTGGTGCGTGATGGCGAGACCTATGCCTTCTCCATCCAGGCTGATGGCACAATTGGTTGGAGAGAGATTCCCGTTTACATTATTAAAGAGAAATGAGAATGGCAAAACAAGATTTGCCTAGTTGAGTAGGTTTTTTTGCATGCATAATTCTTTCATCCAAAGTTTAGTTTTTCAAAGTGTAAAGTTGAATGATTGAACTATTTTGATGGTTACACATACAGATGGGATTACAAAACAGTAGTTGTAGCAAAATGTAGATTCTATACTAGCCGATTCAGAGCAAGGGAAAATGTCTCCTCTTTTTCGATTTTCAAATTTTTTCCCCCTCTTTTTGGGGGCTAAGAGGGTGAAGCAATTTTCTATGTACACATTAAAGAGTAGTAGTAATTCTGATATAAGAAGTTGTGTTGTGATTTGGTTTATATTTTCTTAATGTGAGTTTTTGCTTCTAGAATAATAGTAAGGTTAAGGTTGGGCTTTGGCGCGACTTGGCGTATAAAGGTAAGACTGACATTTCTTCAAACTTCGCAATGAGAAAGCCAGGTGCAATGAGTTTGAATATTTCAATTTTTGCAGCATTATTTTCCAACAAAAAAAATAATCAGTTTCATCATCTTCTGATTTGGTCTTTTGATTTCTGAAGTATGATATTTTCTCCCCCTTTTGAAATAGTAAGTTGGTAACAATCAATTCTAACCCATCTCTGTGCTTCTTTTTTCATTCCGGTTGGCTAGATAGTATTTAACCATTGCATTACAGTCATATTGGCCCATATTGAAATATTAGTAAAATAATACAATATAGATACATTCATTGAGAGCCATAAGATTAATATATGATAGAATCCACGAATATGTACTTTTTTCGCTTGAATTCACAATTCACCTTTGAAGATGCAAGAAACTCCTCCTATTCTTTCTCTCTTTAGAATTCTTACACCTCAACCCCAAAAAGATCCCTCTCCTCTTCATTCCAACTCCTATTTATAGATATTTACAAGATATTTACAAGATATTTACTGATTGCTGGATCTGGGCCTATTCCTCTGTAAGCCCTGGTCACCCTTGATGGGCTTACTCCCGTTCGGCCCATATGGCAGTGTCTTTCTATGGGCTGACCCAGCTGTTCGGACTGAATGTTGTGTTTTGCGAGTCGGACCTGGCCCATGTCATCCGGGGCCTCCTCAACTGCCCCCATAATTGCCCCTTATTTAATAAGGGGTAATTATTGATGGCGTCTCATCATGACGCTGACGGCTCGAGATAACCACGTGGGGGAGCGGACGGTCATATCCAGAATCAATGTTCCGGGGCTCGAGGGATTTCTCGCCTTCCCGACGCTTCGGCCCTCGGGCCCCCTCGCCTTTATAATGCTCTAGAATTCCATTTCACTTCCCTTTACCGTCTCCATCATCAGCCAAGTCTCTCTCTTTCTAGAACAGTGCTAAGCTTTTTCCGGTGAAATCCTTCGAGAGTCATTCTTCCAACGATCTTGCAGTCCTCCGAGGTTAGTTTCGTTCTTTTTACTTTCGGCAGGCTTCCATTTTCCCTCTTTTAGATTCTTCTAGCACTTCCACCATGGTTGTAGATCTGGGTGTTCTTCGTATGAGACTTAGACTTCCTGACAACATCGAAGTTAGGGTTTGCCCCCAAGACGTTAATATTACGACCGGCGCCGGCCTCCTGCCCGGCGAAGTCTTATTCACGAACCTTCAATTGAATGTTGTTAGGTTCCCTCTGCACCCTTTCTTTAGTTATGTCTTCAATAGATTGGGGATATCCCCTCTGCAGGTCAACCCCAACTTCTTTAGGATCATATCTGTTATGCTCTTATTGATGCGTGACAGAAATCTGGACCTCGACCTCATAGACCTCCTTCTGTGCTATAAGGTCAGTAAGATCCGTACTAACGAGCCCTTCTACCACCTCTACCCGTTTGAGAAGATGTCCATATGCACTGACACAATAAAATCTGAAAAGGGTTGGAGGGATAGCATAGTGGGCATTAGTGGGGCTTGGTCTTCGCCGGCTGCAGAGGATTACCCAATCCCGAGCGCCTTTGGTGTCTGCTCTGTCTCCTCCTATAAAAAATTCAAATCCCATAAACATGACTGCCCCTGTGAAACATGCGTTCCTCGTTTTTGCACTTACTTATGCCGCTCCTTGGGAATACCTTGTGATGACTTGAGCTATAGTGTTTGCAGGGATAGGAGTAACTACTTGAAGAGATACGTTCTGAACGATATTCCTTCCTGCTCAGATCTCCTCACTTCAGACAACCTCTTCGCGCTCTCATCACTCGGCTACAGCATGAGCAGACTTCAGATTCCCTCTTTTGGCAGGAGGAAAAATACTCCCCCAGCCACTCCTGCTGCTGGGGCGACCTCCTCTCCAGCGTCGGCTTCTTCTTCAGCCACCATATCTGACACTGTCCCGAGCGCAGTGGCTACTAACCCTGTTGCCAGCGCCCCTGCTGCCAGCCAGAACGCGCCCTCCCCAGCTACCATAGCTCCTGCTGCTGCGGGGGGCGGTCGGGACAAAGAACGAGGCAAAAGGCCTCACCCTGACAGTGAAATCGATCCTGAGGAGGAGCCTCTCATTAGAAGGACCCGGGTCTCTGGGCCGGGTACTCTCTTGCACCGAGCGATCAGAGCTCCTTCTCCCTCTGGGCCTCCTGCAGCCGGTGGCTCTGCTTCTGCTTCTGCTTCAGGCCCCCCTTCTATCCCCAGCTTACCGCCATGGGCCCCTCGGTACACCCGAACGGATGGGACGTTCGTGAAACCTAACGAGACCATGCTGAAGGATGGCCAGACCGCTATGGCCTACTACAGGAGCATGTGGACTCCGAAGGACCTTGAGGAGGCGAAGGGCCTTTCCCAGAAGGAAGTGTTCAGTCGCTTTCCCCAATCTGCTATGGAGGTGACTTTTATTTTCTAACTCATGAATTCTCTTATATTACTTGGTCTTGCCTTCGCCCGTTCTGACTATTGGTTTAACCGTTTTTATTGTGCACCTATGCAGACATTGTTCGGGATGATGGCCATGCAGAAGCAGGTGGAGATGGGGAACGCCAGGGCCCGAAAGTATTCTGACAGCCTGGAGGTGGCTAATAAAGAAAATGACCTCCTTGCCATGAAGAATACCGAGGTGCTTGTTCGGCTTGACAAAGCCGAGCAAGAGAGAGATGTCCTGAAGAAGGAGAATGATTCTCTTCAGGATGAGAAGGACGCCTTCCAGCTTGAGAAGAGCGTCTGGCAGACTGAGCGGGAATCAATTAGAGAAGAGAAGGCAGAACTCCAGCGCCTTCTAGCTGATGAACAGTCTGCTCGGATGGCTTTTGAAAAAAGAGCTCTGGACGAGCGTACCACTCTGATCGACGCGATCAGCAGAGTGGGTGGTGGGATGCTGGCCCTTCACGCTCGGTTCTCCAGGGTCGGTGCTCTTCGGTATGCTCAAGGATTCCGGGAAGGTTTCACCGACCGGGTTCCGGATGAGGGACAGACCAGCTCCACTCCGGATGAGGTAGACAAGGATCTGGGGATCGAACCTCTGGGGGTCTATGTCGACCCAGAACCCACCGAAGCGGAACGTATATTTGATGAGTGCCAGGACATCGCATCCTCAAGGATCATCACAGCTCCTCCTACCGCTCTGCCACTGACCGCTCCCCAATCGTCAACCGTGGCTCCTTCTATAGCCACTGCTGACGCTGAACCCCAGCCGAACGATTCAGTCATTCACCTGGATTCCCCACCTCATGAAGGTGAGGCGGCTGATGGGGCCGAGGAGGCGAGTCGGCAAGACCAGGATGCTGTTGGTGCTGAGGCGTCTAGCTAGGGCTCCTTCGAATTCTTCTAGTTCATATCTTCTTGTAATGATGGACATCTCTCTTTTGTAAACTCAATGTTCAATATTAATGAAATGACCGAACTCTTTTTCCCTATGTGTTGTGCTCTATTCAACTTATCTTCAGTACATACATATCTTTTCTCTCTTTTTCTTTTTATATTAGCTTCGCCGTGTGTTTGTTTACGGCAAGTGCCTGGCGTTCGGCTAGAATGCCACTTGCCACTTGGCTTTAAATTTTTAGCAAGTGTCTGGCGTTCGGCTTATAGTGCCAGCTGCCACTTATCTTGCTTAAGTGCCTGGCGCTCGGCTAGAATGCCACTTGCCACTTGGCTTTAAATTTTTAGCAAGTGTCTGGCGTTCGGCTTATAGTGCCAGCTGCCACTTATCTTGCTTAAGTGCCTGGCGCTCGGCTAGAATGCCACTTGCCACTTGGCTTTAAATTTTTAGCAAGTGTCTGGCGTTCGGCTTATAGTGCCAGCTGCCACTTATCTTGCTTAAGTGCCTGGCGCTCGGCTAGAATGCCACTTGCTAAATTTTTAGCAAGTGTTTGGCGTTCGGCTTATAGTGCCAGCTGCCACTTATCTTGCTTAAGTGCCTGGCGCTCGGCTAGAATGCCACTTGCCACTTGGCTTTAAATTTTTAGCAAGTGTCTGGCGTTCGGCTTATAGTGCCAGCTGCCACTTATCTTGCTTAAGTGCCTGGCGCTCGGCTAGAATGCCACTTACCACTTGGCTTTAAATTTTTAGCAAGTGTCTGGCGTTCGGCTTATAGTGCCAGCTGCCACTTATCTTGCTTAAGTGCCTGGCGCTCGGCTAGAATGCCACTTGCCACTTGGCTTTAAATTTTTAGCAAGTGTCTGGCGTTCGGCTTATAGTGCCAGCTGCCACTTATCTTGCTTAAGTGCCTGGCGCTCGGCTAGAATGCCACTTGCCACTTGGCTTTAAATTTTAATAGTAGACCGTTGGAAAAGAAAATTCTTTTTTTTTTTTTTTGTAAATTCCAGTAACTTGCTCATTCATACGTATTTGATTGACAACAAATAACATCCAACTAAAGCCAGAACTTAGCTTCTATTGGTAGTACCTCTTCAGAGACGTGGCGTTCCAGGGCTTGCTGACCAACCTTCCCGCCATGGTTTCCATCGTATATGCCCCCTTGCCAATGACTTCCGCAATTCTGTATGGGCCTTCCTAGGGTGGCATCATTTTTTTGACCATCCCCACCTTTCTTTTCAGAACCAGATCGCCAGGGGCAAAATCTCTGTGTTTTACTCTCTTGTTGTGACTATTCGCCAGCACTTGCTGATACGATGCTAGCCTTATAGCCGCTGCGTCTCTCCTTTCGTCTATCATGTCGAGGTTCAATCTTAACATCTTGTCGTTCTGATCCCGACTCCATGCTAAGCTTCTGATAGTGGGGACTAAATGCTCAACCGGTATAACTACTTCGGTACCATACGCCATTGCGAACGGGCTCTCCCCAGTCGGCCGCCTTGGGGTGGTTCTGTAAGCCCATAGAACGTTCGGGAGTTCATCCAACCACTTCCCCTTATGATCTTCCAGCTTCTTCTTAATGCAGGCGAAAA